TTTGTTTCTTCTCGATAGGTGAGTAACACCGTGTCTGCGCTGCAACAGCTAAAGTCTGTCTAGTACACTGGACGCGTCACAGCGACAGTTGAAAATCATTAGAAATTTGTGTCAATACGTCATAAATAGAAAGCTGCAGCGGTTTTCTGTCGGGGATTTGTCGTGTCGTGCCACGCCGCATCCAGTGTAGACCATAGATATGTATAAATATATCTATAGTTTAGACAGCATCACTGATTATAATGAGTTCCATAGTATTTTGTTGCGCCGCTCGCGTCTGGTGTAGACACGGTGTAACATTGGTTTTGCTTCACAGAACTAACCGTTGCCTGGGTTGCGTACGTATGTGTGGGGCGGAGCTATAGGGGCGAGACCCTTTTGGGCTAGGGGCGTGTTTGTTTTGTTGATTTCAAATGTCAACATTGGCTACCAGAAATCACTTACCCCACCTTTAAGTGTATTGAAGTCATTTTGAGCCGTGGTTCTCTCACAGAACTGCACATCTGTATGTGTGTCCAGCCTGAGCTGATGATCTCACTGGCTCAGTAACATCCTCCTCAGTGTTTCATGATGCAGACGGCCTTCACGGACCTCTCCTGCCGAAGTTAGCACTCTCATGGTAACAACAACCTTTTTGACTGATGGATCGCTTCTTAAGATTAACAGTTCTTCCCCAGGAATTTGGCAATTAAATACATTTTTCCTACAGAAGCACATATCATCGCTTATCACACAGCTCTCTGGAATACTTGAGAGTGACTGGTCATTCATTGCTTTCAGCTGACATATATTTGCTAATATTCACTGTCATCCATGGCAATGCTTTATATCAGACCGTTCATCCGGATAAGTGTACTGGCCCTATTACCACAAACTCGCTCTCATTTTTCTATTTTTTTATTTAAACAAACGCAACCACCACCACCATCTTGCAGCTCATTCAACAGTAGTGAACTTCACCTCAGAGGACTATAGTATTATTACTGTAATAATTAATAATTATAATTATTCTAATTCTGCTCAAACTAATTAAATCTCAGTCAACATAATTCTCTCATTCTCTCTTTATTGTCTTGCTTTTTATTATTTTAGCCGATTTTATTTCTTGTTCACATTATAATTTTCATATTCACTGGTATTGAATGATTACCATGTTTATTGGTATTTAGCATGGTAGAGTAAAACCAAGAACACTGTAGTACTGTAATTTGTGGTAGATATTATCAGTGTAATACTGGCAATGTAAACCCTTGTTGTTTGTGCTGTAAAGCTTCTTTTAACATAAAGTGCCTTGACACAGTAAATAATACAGTCTTTGTTTTTGATTCTAGACGCAAAAGAGAAGGAACATTTTGTTATATTACCACTAGTTTCCTCGGATCTAGTCTATTAGCTCAAGCTCTATACTGAAAACAACAACAACAGAAATGAAGGGGAACCTTTAGCTTATGTTAGCACACAGACTCGTTACGTCTATAAAAACACACAGGCTCGCTACTATAGTATAAGATCTCTAACCAAATGCGAACTAGTTTGAATCTCAAGGGATTTATAGCTGAAGCAGGCTAATGTCTGTTGTAGATTGAACTCAAAAACAGACTAGACGATAAAATATCATAATTGTAAAATGTGCTTATATTTCCAGGATTTCCATGACCGTGCCTGGGAACCCAAACATGCCTGCTATCATCCACGCATTCAAATAATACAAACGCAGCGACTTTATAGTACATCGAATATACTTTTTTTAATATTACGTGAACGCATGCTGCATATCTCATAGACGCTCACAATGTGACACATAAAAAATATACAATATAACACAACGATGTGCCACCGTTAGCGCGAGAGGCTTCAGCAAAATGATACTCACCAAAACCAAAGACTCCTGGGAACAGTAAGGCGTGAAACACACCAAACTGGACAACAAGATCCTTCGACATTGTCATAAATCGGGTTTCTAAAACGCGTTCAGATGTGTTTCCTAAAGCATTTCCTGAGTGGGCTCTGTGTTCTCGTCTCTCCGCGCGCTCACTTCTACTGGAGCCGATCTACAGGGTTGCCAAATATTCCGCCCGACAAATCAACAAGGCGACCGGTTCGTGCTTTAATACATTATAAACTGTATAGGTAATTTCTTTATTTGATTGGTAACATATATATATTTTTCCTAATATATGAATTCTCCTAACATGGTGAAACGTTGTATTTTGTCTTTCGATTTTAAACGAATCTGGCAACTCGGTGAAATAAAAGGTCCGGTGCTTTACACCTTGTGGATACATTTCAAAGAAACATAATAGCCCCAAGCAAAAAGCTGTCACGAAAGTCAGCTTACCCGAGTGCTCAGTAAAGGAAATAGACTAAACATAAGCCTAATTATATTAGTGTAAGGAGACCAGGACTGTAATAATTTCTCAGTGTGGTCAGTTATTTTTAAAAGTCATGTTTAGTCACTGTTTACACACTGATCCAATAGCCTGCAGTGTTGTCACATAGGCTATACAGTGTGGTTATTTGTCATAGGCTAGTATTAGCTGCTGTGCTTACACTTTATTCTAAGGTGTCCTTGTTACAGTGTAATTATACATTTAAGAACTTAGTAATATTAATTAGCTACATGCACTTACTAAATGGTTAGGGTTAAGATTAAGGGTTTGGCACAGGGTTACTTGCATGTAATTATGCATAATTAATTGTTATTATAATAGTAATTACATGTAACATGTGCCTGATTTGAGAAGAAATGACTCTTTAAAACACACAACAATTTACTCCAACCTAACACACACACACACACACACTCACACACACTCACACTCACTCACTCACACACTCACTCACTCACTCACTCACTCACACACACACACACACACACACACACACACACACGCGCACACACATATAGAGTCTTAATGCCAGTGTGGCTTTATGATGTTCACTTCTTAGTCAAACAGATATAGAAATATTTTGTTCAGATTTACAAATTTAATTTTACATTTCCTGCACCGGCCAAGAAATCACAGCAGCGTCTCTACTTCCTCCGCAAACTGAGAAGAGCCAGAGCCCCGGCCCCCATCATGTGCACCTTATACCTACTTCCTCCGCAAACTGAGAAGAGCCAGAGCCCTGGCCCCCATCATGTGCACCTTCTACAGAGGCAGCATCGAGAGCATCCTGATGAGCTGCATCACTGTGTGGTATGGGTCCTGCCGCAAGACCCTTCAACGCATAGTGAGAGCAGCTGAGAAGATCGTTGGTGTCTCTCTCCCGTCCCTCCAGGAC